GGTAAAGTTACCTCACAGAGAGGAACCGATCTCGTCACTCCACTGACCCTTGCCCCTCTGAGCACACACGCCCAACCAAACCAGCCACCCTTGCGCCACCTGCTCCTAAACGTTCAAATGCAAAGGGAGGCCAGGTACCCAAACTTCCATCTTTCGTCAACCAATCCCTCACAATCGTCACTGCTCTTCATATCTCTTTTATTTTATTCATTATTTGCCCCCCCCCCTCCCACCAAAAAATAATTCCTTTACCTTGACAGGCTCTCTTGCATAACACACATTTTCAATCAGTAAAGAGTCCTTCACAGTTTCGTAAGCTATTGCCACACTCTCGAATTCATCATTTTATTTTTCATCTGTCCGATGGCCGTAATTCATTGCCATCAGTTATGAGTAATCACTTAATATTCCAAACAACTCAAAAGTATCCTTCTCACATCTCGGCCTTTTCTGTTCCTCCTCCAACATTTCTGAGCCATTTCACCATTAGTGTTACGATTGACTTTCTCATCCCCTCTACAAGGAATTAAAGCAGTTACAACGAAAACCAACAACCCTCACCTCGCCCCTAAACAGTTCACATGAGAACACAAAGAAAAACGCAATAAGAGCAACACCCAACAAAGGTACTTATCAACACAGAAACAAAAAGCAAAATTTTAAAAAAAAGTAACAATAACAACAGTAGGACACCATCCCTTGAAAACAGACAAACAAACAAACCCTCCCTACCCCAAAGATAACACGATTAGGAAAAGGAAGTATAATATAGGTCCAAGTATTTCCAGTGCTTGTTTAAGTTGAGCTGTGTACACAGCCCTTATAACACGGACTGGCAAAGAAAACGTAAGACCTTCAGATAAATGTGAGCTCTGATGAATCATGATTGACGGTCTTTTACTTGAACACGCCCACAAACCTTTAAAAAAAACTTGGCGCAGCAACTTTGATTTCAAGACAAGACATGAGCACCAAATAGCATTTTCTTACCAAACGAGTCAATACTTGAGGCTGGGGGTTCTTTGTAAAAGGAGAAGAGAACGGCTGCCCCCTCCATTTTCTCCGGCCTCTTTTCCCTCGCTCTCTTTGGGTCTTAAGTGCCAACGAGTGTTGACACTTGCAAATTAAAACGAAAATGATTTGAATCCGGACAAAAAGTAGGATGGATGGTACATATATTTCAACTTTGTGTCAGTTTTGGAAGGTCTGGTCAAACGTATGGATGCTTTTCAAACTTGTCTTCTAGGTAGGTGAAGAGAGAAAAACCAACCCAAACTAACCAAAAGCAGTTGTTTGCCATATTCGTCAGGATGGATCTACAATAGCATAGACAAAATCGAAAGCTAGTCAGAGTGACACAACCATTGCGCTCAGCTCAGGTATACAAGCCGGCCATGTGAAAACCTATTGAGCACAATAAAATAACGCTAGAGAAAGTGGTATGGGTTTCTTTTTTCGCGATCGCAAGAGCTGGGCAAGAAAATTATACATGGCACAGTAAAGGGTGTGGAGGGGAGGGAGGGGGAAGGAGTGGAAGGCATAGAAAGAGAATAGAAAACAACCCGCCAGGATAGACAAACTGAAACTGTGTTACGCATTTAGAGAGGAGGTAGAGAGGGATGTATGGTGCGATTTCGCTATGTCTTCTGGGTAGCCCACAAGGCCGAAAACAACAGGACGACAATAAGACACGGATACCACTGCTCTGCAGTTTGGACCGGAGTAACTTCACCTCTTCGTGGAAATGATCTGGTTTCTGTGATCCACAAAAGAGTAGATACCAAGATACGAAGGCACTTGACTCAATTATGATTTTAAAAAAAAGTTATCTGCCTGGGAACTTGTGACTGGTGAATCGGGTGCAATCGTTACGGACTGACATTTCATGTAAAATCTTTTTCTAATTCTCTGGCACATGAAAATAGAAAAACTTGCGTGATAAG